GCGTTAGGAGGGTGGCGGGGCAAAGTTGCAGGATGGTGGAGGACGTTTCGTTGGCGAGAAAATCCTGTCTGAGTCCCTGTATTCAAAGTTTTGGTAAAATTTATTACATTTTTTTTGTATTTTTTAGAAGTTCAACTCGAGCAGCAAACTATTCCATCCAAGGTAATGTAATATGTAAAAGTAGTCTTCGTTATGCATTTTACTTTTGTGTATTACTAATGGGTTCGTTCATTGATACGTTTTAAACGTAAGACTAGAAGGCACTCAGATACCTCCGCCAATGAATTAACTTATGTATTTAAATTACATAAATTTTACAATTGGCTAATTATACATTATGCATGTATTATACTCTGCCTGGAAAAGCAGGACAAACTTTTGCTCATTTCTCACGTAATTTTCATCCAAATTTAACCAAAATTTAATCAATTTGTCCTTGGGCAATGTCCATTAGTCCCACAAATTTTCGTATTAATACGCTTGGTATTTTTAAGTTATCGCGACAGGCAAACGCACAGACACAGTGTGTACAAATGCGTATGAACTTAACAAATAGATAAGATTTTGCGGTTGTTTATTCAGTTATAGCTTACGAGCTGCCGAGGCGAGTGGGTCACTTTTTTGTTTTCTCTACATCATGATGTCATACTGTGCATATCTATAACTGAACAGACAACGGCAAAATCATATCTATTTGTTTTATACAAACTGGTAAATAGCTTACTTTTTATCCACCCAAACTTTTGGAAATTTGAAAAAGTCGTGATTTTACAAATATCACACGTACATGATCTATAAAAATAAGGGAATGCTGTTGGATGAGGTTCTGTGTGACGTAATTCCGTGCGTCTGTAATTGATCATGGCTCTCGAGCAATGAAAGCGCTTGAATTCTTAACATTATTCAAAACATAACCTCCAAACGGAGGTAATAAAGCATCTTCGTTGCCAGGATCTTTCATCTGGAAGAGGGAAAGCCGTGAGAACGAGGTTGACGGTAACGAGACTTGTGGCGACCATACTGGAATGACCATTAGTTATTCACTGCCAAATAACATGACCTAGACACGATGTTTTCTTCTTACCAATAACCAGAAACTGCGTGAGCCCTAATTGTGACATAATTGATGTGTTTTATTTGGCAAAGTCCCCTTCGTGCTAATTCTTCTAACTTGCTAACAACATCTCAGTGTCTCACAGTAGATTTGTGTGCACTCAATATGGCTGCTATAATGACTTCATTTAATTATACACGCATAGCAGATGCATTACGCAGTCCCAGTTTTGGGTGTGGGTTGGATAAAACTCTTAACTGCTATTTAACTAACCGTTTTGTAGTCAAATAGTAGTTAACTTCAACCACATAGTTAAGTCGGTTGTATAAAAATGTAGTTAGCGTTAACTGCAGTTAAAAAGTAGTTAAAGTTAACTGTATATTTTCAAGGGTATCGTTGACTTCTCAAAACGTAGTTACAAATGGCGCTTGAATAGGAGTGAACAACATTTTTCAGTAAAACAATAACGAATGTTTTCTGAATGTGTTCTGACAATATAAAGTCTTCAAGCGCTATCGCTTTGGTTTCTTAGCGAAAACAGAATATATTTTTGCACAGGACGATTTCTCGAAGACGAAGTAGGGTCCCTTTATACAAAAAGAAACACTGATATATAATTGCCAAACAGCTACACTTTGGTTTAACCATGGACAATAAAATGGATAGGACTCTAGCTGACGTAAGCAAAGACAACCTAGTTGCAATCTGTGACGTCACGCGTATTGCAAAGTTCTCGGCATTTTTGTTGTTTCGCTATACTTTCCGCTTTAAAAGAGTAATATTGAAGCATATACTGGTCTAATTGTTTAAAAAACATGCCTAAGCCACGACAAAGTATTCAAGGTAAATGTTTTTCGTCTTTGTTTTGTATTTTTTACATTTGTAGCTACGAATTGGCGTCCCCAATTTTAACGAAATTTGGGATGCCTTTTTCACTGTTTAGTGCTTGAAATATTTGCTAAAATTGACTGGGAATACTTAGAGATTTCATCGTAGAATGGCGTAGTTATATTCATTTGTTCTTTGACTAAAATGTTTAGCTGTATTAATGCTAAACATGCCGTTTTTGAGAATTTGGTTTGCAACTAGGTTTCAACATCCAATCACGCCATCAGCCCATTGAAAACATTAGGTTACGTCAGCTAGTTTCCTATCCATTTATTTTATTTATCTATGGTTTAACGTAGACATTTCAAGTTTTTATACAATATTCAGAGTATTAATGAGGCGAACTATACTAAATTATTTCAAGATATAGTCTGCTAAGTTTTTGACTTGTTGGTATATAGGAGCTAGCGTGAGGTAAAGAAAAGGCAGTGTCCAAAAACAATATAAGGTGACTCAAGAATAACTAAGAACACTCTTGATCGACTTGGCCATTTTTCTTTGTCGTTTCCAGTCGTTAAATATCTCTGTCGAGTATTGTTTTCTGAAGGTTTTAAGTTAATCATTTTTGCTCTTTCTTGGTTTCAGGTTTTTGGAAGTCTGGCAAAAGATGACTAAAAGAAACACTTATTGCAATGTTTGTGACTGCCGTTACATATAGCTTTGAAGAACAAGATAAGTCGTTATATTTCAACTATATCATGCAATATATTTTTGTTATTCCAACTATTCTCGAGTGAGTTTAATTTAATAGACTTTTTATAAGAGCATGTGGTTAATATTGGTTTTGGAGTTGCAGATTTTTGACATTGTTTGCATGAATGAAAAATCCTATACGAAAATATTTTTCTCTCGACAAGAAACAAAAATTCAAAAATATTTTGCGGGTATAGCCCCGCTTATTTTGCGAGTGCATTCCGCGGAGGGAAGGTAATAATTTTTAAAACAATCGCCCTAAAAAGTCAATTTGGTAATGGGAAACATCACTTGGGCTTACGAAATGAAATTTTGAATTGTTCACGCATATAGCATCGCTGCATGACCTTAAATAAGAAAGAGTTTCACACGTTTGACTACCACAAGTGTAGAAATTGCAAGTAATTAATAATTGAGAGAGGAGTTTTATCTCTCATTTCTGGAAGTATAAAATCTCGCCGATGTCAACGAGATGAAATTGTGGGCAAAATCTTTAAAATGTGCACAGCTAGCTAGAATTGTTTACCACTATACTGATAATGCAGCGGAGTAGGCAACGAATAAATAAAATAATTTTCGTCGATTGAAGAATTGGAAAGACTGAAACTGCCAAAGTAAGTAAAATTTATTTTAGTAAGTTTTTATTTTGTCTACAACTTTAATTTAAACTGTATAATTATTGGATATTATTCAGTGTGTATAATTAGATCGAAATTTTCTGTTATGCTATGTTGCAATACCAAGTTTCAAACTATATTATATTGAAGAGCAGAACACTGTTGGTTTGTCAGTTGTGCGCCCGTCGGATTCACAGTGCTTTAATAATTAAACCGTTTTGTGTTATTTCTTCTTCAGATTTCAAACAGTTGCTGATGATCATGTAAATGGGATTCTATTCCACCTTGCGTGTCACAAATGTCCCTGATAGTTCCCTCACGCATTTGTGGTCAATTGGTGCAATAAAAATTGATGATTTGCCATTTCGTAGTTGGTTGTTGCAGTTGTATCCATGATCTCTCTCAATTTATAAAACACGCATTAAAACTTGGTTCCCTTCGCAACGACAAGGCTAGTTTCAAATTTAAATTTTTTAAAGGACATTATAACGTCCTCTTATAAGTTTACATATTACATTCCACGCATGCAAATACGAACAATTTAGGTATTTTGCTTACAAATATTATATTTGCGAGTGTGGACAGTTTAATAATGTTTCGTCTTCTTCAACATATCTTAGCAAAACTAGGTTGCGTCCATTGCCTCTTCACCTGGCTTCAACTTATAATTTGGAAAAATTTTTTGAACAACATCTCTGCCATAAAAATTTGCCATGTCTCTACAGATTGAAACAAACTGGACGCCGAACTCCATCAACGAATATGTTCTTGACTTTCCTTGTCTGGAAACACTTTGTTGCTCTTGATTCGGAACGTTTTCCAACTGATTCGGAACAGTTTCTTGCTCCTGATTTGGAACATTTTGTTGCTTCTGATTCGAAATATTTTCTTGCTCGTGATATGTAAGGCTTTCTGGCTGCTGATTTGTAACATTTTCTTGCTGACTGGGAATGTTTGCTACTTCTCTTTCCAGAAGGTATCCCTGTGTATGCATGGCGACGATGTTTCCGTTTATTTCAAAAACAGGAGAACCACTACCCCCCGCGAAAAACGTTGTGTCGTATGACAGAAAACCTTGGAAGTCTTCAGTGTTGTGTAATAATTGCGCATTGGTCATGTGTACGCCGTTACACTGTTCATGTCTTTCCCTTATTCTCTCCTGCATCGCACGATAGCCGACAACAACACAGACTTCGTCCTGCATTTCCTTTCCTTCCGGATGACCAAGAATAACAACTCGACCATCTGATAGTTGCCAGTTTCTAACCATGGGACCAAGTGGAATACGATCTCTAATACCTTCGTTTTGCTTCAAACGAAAGAATTTGTAATCCACGTATGGATTCCCAAGCTTTGGATCCTGTTCTTCATCAACTTCAATTTCCACAACATTTTCCATTTGTTTGGCGTAGAAATAATCAAACAAAACGGTGATGGGTATGCTGGAATTTCCTGGTTTGTTTCTTTCTTTTTCTATCATCCTGTAAACATGATAGTTGGTTATCACCAGCACGTCTGTGACAAGGAAGCATGTTCCACTAACACTACCACATTTAATGTGGCCAATGGATCTCATATAAGATGCTAAAGTTTCATTCAGTATCGCCGGCCTTTTAGTCGAAGCATTTTTTAATACTTCATATCTTGCAAAGTTGAAGATTTGTTGATCTCCTCTGACAAATTCTCCATTCTTTCTATCAAGTTTATTATCATCCTTACCCAACAAGCTTGTACATGCTGACTTTTTAACATTTTCTGTCATCGCTTTACGAACGTTCTCAGTGAAAGGTTCTTTAACTGATATTTCGCGAGTGTACACGTACGAAGGAGCAATTTCTTTGACGTATTTTTTTACACGAACCACGTCTTCACTGGATAATTTTTCTTTTCTGCTTGGGTTGCATGCTTCTTCAACCAATGCATCCAAACGGGCCCACCCCTCTGAAAAAATCATAAAGAGTTTTTGACTTTTTTAGAGTTATCCCGTAATGCTACATTTTCCACGATCGTTTGCTACATTAACGTCAATATTAAATAGAGAATAATACATGGGTGCGCGGAAATACCAGATTTATTTCGAGTGTTGAACATAAAGGACAGTCTTTGAAAAGCGATATTTTTTACAGAAAAGCGATAATTGAAAAGCGATAATTTTTGCTTGTCAACAATGATTATAGCCTTCGAAGCAATAACATAAATCTCTGTTTAAAAAAACCTAAGACGAATTTTATGAAAAATAGTTTCTCTTATCGTGGATCATCATCATGGAATAAACTACCTACCGTATTTATACGATTGAGCGCCGCCCCCGATTGAGCGCCGCCCCCGAATGAGCGGCGCACTGAACAGTGAAAAAACTTTCCGCCGTCAAAATGGGAACATTTAGTGACGAAAACCTTTTAAAACTTGTTTATTTTATTGTTAAAAGTTCTATTATTTATAATTCACAAATAAAGATTTTTTAAAGAGCGTCGCCCCCGAATGAGCGCCGCATCTGAATCTCTCACAATTCACAATTTTATTAAATTTAAAGATAACAAATAAAATACAGTACTACACGCAAAATAGCAAAGCTAATCGAGGCGTGTAGTTACAATATCAAAATTATATGCTCATTATATTTATTATTAATGTAACAATGTAAGGTGTTACATGAATAATAACTGATCTTAATAATAAAAGTATACTTTTGGCATAGAAATTATTTTCAATGCTTGACCATTTGTTGAACACTATTGTGGGTACATCAACATAATCATCCTCAAGCTCAAGTATTGTTAAAAGGGTTTTCTTCATTATTTTATTGAAATTCGTTCTTCCCAATTCACGCACATCAGTGGAAATATTATTCCTTATTTTTCACCCTGCTCGGTTTCCTTTGTTCTTGTCGGGGAATATATTCAATATTCCCCTCTAATCAATTTCCGTTTAGTAATCCCCTCTAATATTCACCTGCAATTAATAATCCCCTCTAATATTCACCTGCAATGTCTTTGCAGCACAAAAAATGAGAAAAAACAACATCGCTAAGGCAATATGGCATTAAATCACATATCCCCTCGTTGCCTCAAAATAACCTATACATACTTTTGCTCCAACTCATGCGAATGATGAATTTGTTTTTGTAAGTCTTGCATATTCAATATAATAATTCTTAGATACGTGAGCTACCCCTGTGCTACCCCTCAACGGCAGGCGTTGTCACCTTCCATAAAGGTGTTTATCAAAGCCAAGCATTGGAAAGCAACATAAATTTATAAATATTTACAATTCTTCACTTTCACGCTGTTTTTATAAGCAATATTGCACAGGTAAATCTACTATATAAATGCAGTTAACTAACAATAACATGAAATAAAAACGAAGTACAACGAACTACTGCAATACTATAAATATTTACCGCGTTCATTTTGGTCTTTGTCTTTGTACTGACTTCAGAACAAAAGGTGGTGTCTCTATTCGTTTGTGTGCGAGTGGTAGTTCAATACAAAAAGTTTTTTCAGACCCATTTTGCATGACATAAGTCTTGTCCTTGGCTTTTTATACCCTGTATTCTTATAGAATAAACTAAAACAGGCGACGAACAGTCGGGAATTTTTTCTACAGCCAATCACTTTTTTTCTACAGCCAAATCACGATTTTTTCCACGAGAAACGTCATATGTTCGTTTGGGGGTGGGGGGGTTGGCAGCTGTGACGTTTCTCTGTAAACATCATGGAAAAATTCGATAGTTTTTATCTTTGCAGAATATAATAAAAAACTAATTTGATACAAACAGCAGTCTATACATTCGTAATACCATACCTGTCCTATACCTATACATTTATATTATTACGCCTTCCTTGCATTGCAAACACTCAAATTTCAAGAAAAACACGCTAAAATGATCAATATTTCAATTTCATGCAAAAAAAGTTGTTTTGAGAAACGTTGGAAATTTTGAAGTTCATATTTATAATAAAAAAAGAGTATGTCATATTCCTCGCGGAAGCATCGCCAACAGCCGACCGAAAAAAAATGTATATAGAAAATTACCTTATTCATGTGTACTATAAGAACAAAATATCGATAACTATGTGTGACGTTTCTAAGGTGGGGGGGGGGGTTTCCAGAGAAACGAACATATGACGTTTCTCATGGACAAAATCGATATGTGAGGCTTCCCTAATTAGAACAAAATCTTTGTATTGCTTGTAAACTTGAGTTATGTATTGAAAATTTAATTCAGTTTACAAGCCAGTAAAATGGAAAAATCGCTGCAAATTGCAGTGTTGTCGCACCAAAGTTGCAGTCAAAATCGCAGGGTGTTTACATTGGAGATTTTAAAAAATCGCCGTAGAAATCGCAGTGAAAATTGCAAGTGTAAACAGGCCTTTAGAAACATCGTGCATTAAATTGGAAACAGTTTTGATATAAAGCATATTTATACGAAGTATTTTTGATTCAATAAAAAGTGGAATAGCATGTTCTCTGTATTTTTTGAAATAAATTAATCGTAATGCCCGTTTTTGTAAAATAAGTATCTTATTGACATACCTTTTTGATGCATGCCCCCATACAATTAAGCCATAAGTTATATATGGTGGTAATATTAAACAACGATATATATTATTGAAACAACGATATATATTATGCTGAATTTAAAGAGCGCCGCGGCGCTCAAACGATTAAATACGGTATGGAAATAAGGGATAACTACAATCAACTTTCTATTGACTCATTCAAAAGGACTATTAATGGATATTTCAAGTCATAGATTGTTGAGTGTTTGCATGATTTATGTTACTATTATATATATATATATATATATATATATATGCTGTTGAGGCGATCAGTAGAATACATGATAACTTTTCTAAGGTTTGTAGCTGATCTGGTTAAAAAGATATGTAGATGATAGCAACGCCTGTGTAAAACAATCGGACATTTCAATATTTCACAATCATCTAAATACTATCAACCCACATATACAATTTACTCTTGAAATGCCTGTTGTTACAGAGAATCAGCAAACCATAGCGTTCCTGGATACCGAAATTATAACCACGACATCTGGTGATGTTAATGTTAGCGTATATCGAAAAAGTTCTCACACGGACAAATATTTGTTATATAATTCACATAGCCATGTGAATGACAAGAAAGCTGTAGTAAAAACTTTATTAGATCGCGCAAAAACTATCCCAACGAATTCCGTATTGCAAGCCCAAGAGACTGAAAATGTGATTGAAACATTAAAATTAAATGGCTATCAAAAGCGTTTCATTGAGAAAGTTGTTGCGAACAACCATCAGACTAGCACAAATGCTGAGTATGAAATTCGTGGATCGACATGCCTTCCTTATGTTAACGGAGTTTCAGAAAAAGTAAAAAGTATTTTAACCAATGCAGGAGTTCGGGTCGCGTTAAAACCAGTACTAACTTTAGGGAATATTTTTCGCAAGCCCAAAGCAAGACCGTCAGAAGACAGAACAAAAGCTATTGTATACAAATACAAATGCAGAGAATGGCCATTTACATATATCGGTGAATCAAAGAGATGTTGGGCGACAAGGTGGTTAGAACACAAACCGGGAGTTAGAAAGAAAATTTTTTCGACAATAAAGGAACACGCTGAATGCACTGGTCACAACGCTGCAAAATCAGACGCTGTAATATTAGAAAAGGGAGTTAAGAACTACGAACAAAGGATTTTCTTAGAGGCTTTACATTCCACTCTTAGTGAAAACACGGCTAATGAACATACTGAATTTCCGGCTTGTTATTCTATATTAGCAGATGAAATCAAGCGGAACGATAAACATTATAAATAGAGGTGTAATGACTCTTGCCATATACTCTGATGAAGGCTTGCAGCTCGCAGCCGAAAATTTAGTTTTAATTTTACTAGTTTTTATTTTAAATAAAATGTTTTTAACCAGATCAGCTACAAACCTTAGAAAAGTTATCATATATATATATATATGTATATATATATATATATACATATACATATACATATGTATAACACAGTAAATTTAATTTAATTAAAAATTATATTCGCTTCAAGTTTTAAAGTTTATTCTGATCTTGGTAACTGAAACTCGGAACTGAAATACATGCTCAGGAGCATGTATTTCCCGTTTGTAATACAAAATGTCTGAAAATTGCAAACTTCGCAATGCTATATTATCCGCATTTTACAACATTTCGCAATGAAACTTTGGAATATAACTAATTGTGCGATGCTCTTTCAAGCTGTGATAAATTTTTGTCTATACACTTGTTCAGATCTAAATTTTAGTCAAAAGGTGAAAGGCCCATTGGACACTAAATTGAGTATTAAGTACTGTACACTAAACAGTTCGATTCAGTCTCTGGGATATTTTGAAAAAAAACAATGCACAATTATTGTTAAACAATGTCGAGATTTAAGTGATTTTATTTACTATACTTAGTCGTTTCCGAAAAGGATGAGTTTGAGCTTTTCCCGTTTAGATGCTGCTCCTTGTTTCACAATTCTGTCGGTATAGACTTTTCCAAACTAATGAAGGAAGATCTTACTGTAGAGGTATGTTATCGTCTTGATTATGATGGTGATATGGTCATCTGGAAGATTCTGCTCAAGTGCATGTGCTTTCTGAGAGTGCTGCTGCAGTGACTGGAATGAAATGACTCCATTTGATGACCATAAGGCGGAGTAATCTATTTGCTTCTTTTAGCACTGTCACCACAGATGAAGATGGGTTTGTTAGCTTTCCATAGGTCTTGAAAGAAATCAAGTTGGATTTGGATGAACTCTGGCACTATGCATGGTCATGAGGCAGGGGAAATTTGTCGTCGTCATCTTCTGTGGCTAAAGAAGTAGCACATTCTGCACACTTAATACAGCCGGTGATCTTTTTGGCTATGTATCCTCTTGTCTATGCTAGGATGTCCTCGTGCCACATGGTGGAGTTGTTCAACAATGCAGCAACCCTGTTATCAACACTATCGGCTTCTTTGGTATACTTGCTTTCTTCAATAACAGAGCAATTGCCAGTTTCAGCAGCTGTCACCTGGTTCATCTGAAGTAATGCTCTCAGGGCCCACTTGAATTGGAGTGCATTCGGGTTAATGTTCCATCCAAGACGATTTCGTATCTTGCTAAAGAACATCTCTAGCTGGTCTGGGGAGAAACTACAGGTAAGCACATAATCAAACTTGTTGCGAGTTCTTCTTAATAGTTCTTTAGCCAATGCCATGATTAATTTTGATAACACAGCAAAACCCAGGATAAATGCTTTTCTTGGGCTATCAATTAATTTTACTCCATTACTGTCCTTCAGTTCAGTTAAATAACTAATTGTGTCAAGTAGATTATGACGTAATTCATCCAGATTTTATAGTGTAATTGGACCTTTGTGACTCTTGCCAAATTTTCTTTTGGAAATCAAAATGTCAAACATGTTGTTAATTTTCAGAATGAATTCTGCTGTTTCATCATCATCTTTAAACTGCTCCAATTTGAGGTTTCGAAGATGCATGATTCCAGCTGAAACAGAATTACTTAAGGTTTGGGCCGCAACGGCCACTTTCATTTTCTGATTATGCCACCTTATGTGCGTAGATTTCAGCTTGTTTATAAGATTCAAAATATCACCTTTTTTAATGTTGTAGAGTCCTGTGAGGTACTGCCAACTGATTATGTCCCCACTTTCTGTGTAGAATACCTTCAAATCTCCCAAGTTATTACGTGCCAGTTTTAACAGATGGCACAGATCCAAGATGACATATAGCTAGTGTTTTGTGTGGCCGTGTTGGGTGCTTGAATGAGCCATCAAATTTGGCAATGTTGCATCCCAGCTGTATCTTGCTGTGGCTACGTTTTTAGCACAACCATCAAATGTAACCCCATGAACATCGAGCCCAGCATCAGTTAGTAAATTGATTGCCTCTTTGATCATTTGTTGCCTGCATTTGGGCATCAACACGATCCACTAGGAAGTATGCAATTGGACGAGACCATGGCTTTTTCAGTCCAACAGACATGACAACTAGGGCATTTTGGGCAATACTATGCTGTTATCCGGCCAGAATTGGGCCGTAGCCTGTGTTGCCTTCGAAATTTTTGTTCTTCTTGTCCCATATTACTTTTTTTTTTATAGACATTCTATCGACTAACAGGAAACAATCCTTATCTTCTTCATCCAGAGTATTCTGCAAGTGTTCAATGACACAAGTTAATAAACCAGGCTCACACTTCATGGCTGCTGCCCAAGCTCGTATGATGGCTGGACATGGTAGATGAAGGGATTTTCTTACAAAAGTTATATGCCTTGGGACTGTAGAAATGTAAGATGACTGCAAATTGCTTGCTGGTATCCCCATATCTTGAACTCTTTAATTTGTTAGCATGCTTTTGCTCGTTTATAAACAAATCCTTTGTCATGTGACCAAAATTCGGTAAAAGACTCAGACTTTGCTCCTTCGATAAGTGTTGTGCATTTCCGAGTTTCTTTTCCAACCCCTTTATTAAAGGAATACCGAATGGTTTTCCGTGCAGGATTGCGTGATCCATGCACGCGGGATATTGCGAGACTTTCGGAAAGCGTGAAAATACACGAGCCGTAGGCGAGTGTATTTTTACGCTTTCCGAAAGTTGAACAACATCCCATGCAAGTTCATGGATCATGCTATCCTGCACGGGAACACCATTTGGTATTTGTTTTATAAAATTACTACAGTGAAACGACGAATTTTTTTCAGCACTAGCTTTGCACTCCGCGTGCTGCTGTCAAACAAATGCCTTCTCCGGATAATTTATAATTAACTCCATCGAAAAACGTTGTCGCATGCTGGTAGAAAGCAGAAAAATCATTAGCGATCTGGCTTAGTTTGTACGTTGCTTCGCTAATCATTCTCCATGCATGCTTGCATGAAGAACATCCAATGCAGGTGTCTGTAGATGATAGAACATCCAATGCAGGTGTCTGCAGATGGGGTGGTGATATAAAATATTCGAATATACGTGAATGCGACTGACACAGGTTCAAACTTTGAAAGACTTTCCCCCAGGCACTTGGCTTCGTATCTAATACTACCTTATCTGAGAGTAGTTCTTTTGTGTCGCCATTAAAACTGCCAAACAATTTTCTCAAAGCTCTTGCTCGGCTGGACCACGTGGCTTGGCAAAACCTCGCATATGTTTGATAACGGAGAGTTATACTAGTTTGACATAATTCTTGATCGTTGATACTCAGCGATGGCAAAACGGTATATATATATATATATATATATATATATATATATATATATATATATATATATATATATATATATATATATATATATATAGTTTTTCGTTTTACCTCAAAAAACCACAACAGTCTGTTTCATCCGTATAGGAACCATCCACAGTCTGTTTCATCCGTATAGGATGATTCCTATACAGATGAAACAGACTGTTGTGGTTTTTTGAGGTAAAACGAAAAACTATATTACGCTCTATCTATATGGTATTGAGCACTGTTTGTGTTTCGTAAACCAAAATCTTAAGCTATATATATATATATATATATATATATATATATATATATATATATATATATATATATATATATATATATATATATATATATATATATATATCACAGTATTTGACGGGCTTAAAATTTCACAGTCGGGATATCAGCGTTTAGAATTTATACACAGTGGGCGGGATCACAAGATCTTACTATTTTATAGCAATTCCACATCTCCATAAGGTAAATCCGTTGGGTTTACGTATCGGACAGGATACACTTCGATACTGACAACAGAAAGAATCTTCGGTCCGCGCGCGGATGATTTTTACAGCGAAGTATTAAGCGAAGCGTGCTTTCGTTACCAAACCTTGATTTCCACTGAAATCTGATCCAACCACTCAATTGACTAATGTAACCCAACACTCAATGATATAGAGGAAGACGTGTGATAATAAATACAAAATATTTCAGGATTTCTTATTGGAATTTTAAATTTTATCGCCCGAAATAATAACACATAAGTCGTAATTTTCCAAGCGAAACAAGCGCATTCCTCTACCATCCCTCCTCAAGTACAATCTCAATTTAGCACCCAGAATCTGGGAGCCACGTGACCAGCTATTACCAGGTTCTTTCATCCTGCGAGGAGCGTAGTGCAAAGAGCCCGGGTACGAGGTTGAGTACTATGTTGTTCAACTAAATTAATTAATATATGATTACCAAGATTCAAAAATAAACATATGAACCGACTTTTGTCAATAGTATATCGAAACTGTGTTACCCGCAATAAGTGTGCTGTTGTATGAGACTCAATGTGTTATTGTCTTGCTTTCTTTTTTCTAATATCACAAGAAAAAAATTATACGGTTTCTGTATTAGCGTTCTCTATATATTTAACAAATATAAAAATTTTTCTTGTTGATATACAGTTTTAGCATCTTTGCATAAGTGAATACGACAAACCCTGCAAGTTGCTTGGTAAAATTTGACGTATTAAGCCGTTATATTCACCCACAGGTGAATTGCAATAAAGGCGTTTTCCCGTTTTGTGGAACTTAGTAGGGAACTTCGTCAATGATGATTTGTAGGCGGAGGCGGCGACGGCGACCGGATGTCGATTTCACTTCCGGCGAATGTTTTCTGAATTATGTTTTGCCGTCGCTACTCGCGCCAACGTGATATAATTTGTTTTGCCGACGTGTCTAAAACGTGGTTCAAACAAGTAGCTTAGAACGTCCAAAATTGGCCAAAATCGGCTTGAACATTCCCCGATAATCACCTCGCCTTCGGCGAGTATAATTGTTAATTATCACACTTTTTGCATGAGAAGCTTATACGGGCAACATATTGATACAATGACTATATACGATACGTAGTCGCCATATGTACGCAAATACCGGCCTGCATATAGTATAATAGTTGAAAGAAACAACAATCACATACCCTCGAATTTAGAAATGCTTGAGATTTATTCTGTGCCCCCTCTATATTTGCTATCTGCTTATCAATTGCATTTCCTACAACTTCAATGCCTTTTTCGACAAGGGCCTCTTGAACTTTTTCGTTGCCAACAGCGGCCGCCACGGCCGAAGGGTTACGCTTCAATCCTGTTGTTGTATGACCTATTTACATAAAATCAATAGACAAACATAATATATTTTATTGGATTTATTTAGGCAAGGGTATAGGACAGCGTGGGTGGTCCTCAGTGGTCGTATAGTATACACGGGTATAATTATGACTTTTACTTTAGAGATGCAAATATTTATAGAAACTGCGTAGCTAGACAGTTGGTCTCCTCCTGGATGGCGGGATCCCTCATTACTCTGCATGCGCCCTATAGTCGTAGCATTATATGCTTGTTGACTTTTTACCAATAACTGTTTTTTCCTAGCTTGTTTTCTAGTTTTCTAAAGTAGTCATTACCTTGCACTGGGTTAAGTTTACAGAACCCCTGAATGGACTATAGGTCTACTATCTGACTATTGGACTATAGTTCTACTATCTGACCAAGTTTGGACGAAAAATTTTGAAAACTCGCAAAGTTATTTAATAAAATACATTTTGCTTGCAACAAAAGAAACATTGAAAATGTAATATTCAAATTTAACTGCCTCCTGAATAATTTTACGGCAATTACTGATTTTCAAACGAGTTGTTCTCCTGCGAGTTTTAACGAATTTTTCTCAAATTGCACAGGACATAGCTAAGGACGTCAGTTTCAAAATTGTGTTCGGCGTTGCTCTAATTTTGGATATTTTAATAATAAGGGGCAATTCACACAAACGATTCAGAAATATATTGCAGTCGTCAAATGAATCGCCATATCAACGCAATGACGAAATAAACAAAAATTTCAGAATAAAGTTTTTAAGAACAACTATTTTGCTGTATAAAAATGATATTTTCATAAATATATCTCAAAACCAGCAGGAACATAATTCAAAAGCGTAAAGGTACCGCAACTTAAGATTTTCCTGAATAATTCTTACATTATTTTATTGTTTGTCAATTTTGCAACTTTACCATATTTTGCATGCATTTGCTAACATTTGGTGAAAATTTGATGAAAATCGGCTGATTTTGAGCAAGCAGTTGCAATTTTCCACAAAAGGCCAAAAAGGGTGTCCTCATGTAACCTTAAGGTTACAGGACACCCTTGAGTGTTAAATTGGCCCAAATTTTTTTTATTGGCTTTCATAAAAGCTTTAGACCACTTCTAATATCTGACCAAGTTTGAAAGAAAAATGTTGAAAACTCGCGGAGTTATTTAATAAAATACATTTCTCTGCAATATAAACAACATTGAAAATGTAATATTCAAATTCAATTTTCTGGGGACTATTTTTGCGGTAATTACTGATTTTCAAGCCAGTTGTTCTCCTGTGCGTTGTAACCGATTGTTCTAAAATTTGCACAGCGCATAGCTGATGACTTCAGCATAAAAAAGGTGTTCGGCTTTGTTTTAATTTTGGATATTTAGTGAATTACGAGCAATTCAGTCTACATAATTTGAAATATATTGTAATAATCAAAGAAATCAATATATCAAACGAACGGCGAAAAAGCTAAACAAAGCCGAACACGTTTTTTTAAAACAACTATTTAGCTCTACAAAAATGTTATTTTCGAAAATATATCTTAAAACCGACAGGAGAACAACTCAAAGACGTGAAGGTACCGAGTTTTTTAATTTTCCGGAGTAATTCTTGGATTATTTTATTGGTTTGTCAATTTGACAACTTTATTATATTCTGCATGCCCTGGCAAACATTTGGTGAAAATTTGACAAAAATCGGACGCTTAATAAGCGCGTAGTAGCGATTCTCCGCGAAACGCCACAAAAGGTGTCCTGTAACCTTAAATTAAGGAATAAGGAATAGATAGAGAAAACGTGTTACGGCTCATAAAGCAATTGTCTTATTAGTCGGATTTTTAGCTATACGTTTTCAGTTTTGGTAGGTCACACCAACCATATAATCTTAATAATTCATTCGAACCAGTAAAATTAGAGCAGTATTCATGATACACTCCAACTTTATTGCAAATCAATAAATGATTTACCATTAATACATGAATCGTGAAGCTGATTCTGCAGGGATAAGACATTATTTTCATCGATTTAATCGATTTAATATTTATCATCCAAACTTGGCAACAAAGGTCTTACTTGCACGGCCATAGATGAAAATGGACTTAATCCCCCTATTAAGCTGCGAAAATGTTAAATGTAACACTCCTGGCATGCAGGGGATTAACATAACTGCCTAACCTCGTTGCGTTTTTAGAGTAAACATATTAACACGATATAGATATTACATTGTTTCGTATACCTCGTGATAAACTATAAGTCACTTGTGGAACTTCTTCTTTTTTCATGTGTCGCCGTTGGTGGATATTCTTAACTTCTTTTCCAGCATCATAATCTATGGATTTCTTATCGTGCATTTTCATTGACCTTTTTTGTTTAGTGTTCACATATCGAGCAATATTTTTAATAAAATTGTCTGGCAAATTTAGATGGCGCTTTTGACCAATCTTTATATTCTGTTTTGGTTGCGCTAAATAAGATAATAATTATAGTCTTGTAATGTCTATCCGGTGTACGTACCCTTTCAGTTAATATAGTTCAGATGTAATTAATAATCTTGATAGACACAGTTTGAGCTGCCATTTTGTTTTTCTCTACTAGCAGGATATGAGCTAATATCCTGCTAGTAGAGAACCAATCAGATTGCAGAATATACATATATATATATATATATATATATATATATATATATATATATATATATATATATATATATATATATATATATATATATATATATGTGTGTGTGTGTGTGTGTGTGTGTGTGTGTTCAAAACTAGCTTGGAAAATATTGTTTTCTATAAACAGAACAATTGATAAAATATATACCTGGCGATACACGAGTCGCATCCAGAACTTTCTGCCGATGTGATTGTGAAACTATTGATGGTGTATTTGCCACACCAGTTCTCTTTTCCAAGTTTGATTCGTTTTCCATTGCTCGACTTTTCCCATAACTTGTAGAATACAAAAGCAAAGCAATACATAATGATTTCGCGAACAACATTTTTTTTATTTCAAACCTTTTCGAATTGTTTTAAATAAAGTAGAAATGCGAAAGATGTCGTTCGCCCAGGAAGAGCAAGCGTCGAATGATTTCGTTCTGGGGAATTTACATCTTTTTGAAGACTATTAATTAATATTTTGCTTCTTCTTCACAGCTGGTTATTCATTCATGGTACCAGTGCAAAGTAATTTCTATTACACTGTGTTCTCATAGGAAAATCACAATTAATATTTCAGCTATTATTATTGAATGTTTCTTTCAGTTCACTGACAAAGAATGCGATTAAAATATTTTATTATTTAGGACTTGATAAACAGCAGCGACAATACTGCGTCAAAAAATATATTTATTGCTATCCGAAAACACAATATATGTTTCACTAATAGGCATTTGATTTACCTGTATAAATTGTAAATTAGCTAAATTGTAAGTTACCTCGTATTAGATGGCATCTGAAATACAGTTTCCTGAGCAGTGAAATGAAGTTTTCTGAACCGTGTAATGAAGTTTCCGGAAGCAGCGAATTTTGGACGAGTGAATTTCCAAATTATGTTGAAAAACACGACGCTCGCCAAATTTTCTTTAACAAATTCTTATAAGTGTTTTAAAGGTAGTCTTATAAACAACTTCCTTCCTGAAGTATGCATGAATACAAGATATGACCATAAAACTCGATCGCAGATAAGATTGCGTCCATACCAAGGACGAAAAACGAAAAATGTCGTTAAATCTTTTCCTTGTCATGGTTATACGGTAATTTCAAAAGGATTGTATTTTGCATCCTTTCTTGCATTTTTTGAATTTTGTTTTTAATTCTTTTTTATTTTCCACACGCATAAAGCTAAAATTTAATTTCTTCAAATAAGAGGTGTGTTTTTAAAATTGTTGGAGTCATTCTTTGAATTTTCGAAACGTAGTGCTTTCAAAATTTGAACTCGCACGTTTCATGTGTTTTATGACTGCTGCGCCGTATAACGATTGCAATTTTAACAAAAGAAAAAACGAAAATTATGCGGTTATTTTTAATGAAATTTTAGTCCATGACATCAGAAAAATCAGGATTTTAATTTCCCGCGCGCGGGACTATATTCCCACGCCAAAACCTATCTTGTCCAAATTTGTATATTAGGCCTATAATTCTGTATGTGCGGATTGAAATATTTGAATTTCGTTAATTTGACTTTAAAACAGCCAATTGCGTATATATATATATATATATATATATATATATATATATATATATATATATATATATATATATATATATATATATATATATATATATATATATATATATATATATATATATATATATATATATATATATATATATATATATATATATATATATATATATATATGCAATCACACGGGAAGGAGTGCAATTAATGATTAACACTATAATACTCATGATGTTCGAAAATGGGCGAAATTGCACTTTCCTCGGCAGGCGAGTGCAAATTTGGCACGTTTTTCAAATAACACGAGTAGTGTTAATCATTAATTGCCCGACTTCCCGTGTGGTTATTTATTTATTATATGCACGACAAAATTGCTTGCTTTAAATTAAAATTTTTTCACAAAAACAACGGCATTTTTTCAAGTGTTTTTAATTATTTTGTAAGCAATTTAGTATAAACAAACTTGGGTAATGATTATAAACTCGTAAAGGCATATAACTTAAACTATACAACATAAGATTCAATCTCAAACAAAATATTTTATAGTAAGAAAATGTTTATAAATTTTATCACAAACTTACATAGTCACATTTCGCTGCATCCCGCCGATATTATTTCTTAAGAATGTTCCCAGGTGTTTTCTAGAAGCTCTTTTTGCATTTGCCATACAATCTTTTTTAAACTCATTCTTTTGCCAAATGTAGTTAAATTCGTCCACATTTGTTATAAATACTTGTTTAAATTTCGCCGCTATATTAGATTTTGTTGTTTTCATTTCCGCTCCCCCCAACCATCACAAAAATCATTAATTGCACACCCGGAGAGTGCAATCAATGAAGAAATTGCACTCCTTTTAATCAATCAGATTGAAGTAATTTTGTCATATATATATATATATATATATATATATATATATATATATATATATATATATATATATATATATATATATATATATATATATATATATATATCGGTACTTAGGCCCGGTTTAGACTTTTCATGCGCCGAATCTAATTGTCGTAGATACGGCAAAATATCGGAAGCTGATTTAGACGTCGAACTTAATTGTACCGTACCAAATTGCGAGGACACGATATTGGACATATTTACAATACAAATATATAATAATCATATTATGATGTTAAAAAATAATTATGCATTAGGTTCGGCGCATGAAAAGCACGGCGTCTAAATCAATGTCGAACCTGTGTCGCATATACGACTTGTCTTGTCGCATCTTCGAGTCATGTCGAACTTAATCAAAACCTGTCGAACTTAATTGATTTAGACGCCGCTCCAGCGTCGCACTTAATTCTTGCATTAGATTCGGCGCATGAGAAGTTCGCCGTCTAAACCGGGCCTAAGTCTAGTACATGTTGCAAGTTAGAGTTATAAACCCAGAAGGAGGTTTATAACTGATATATTGCCCCCGAGGACGCACAGCGTCCGAGAGCAATATATCAGTTATAAACCGACTTTTGAGGGGTATACATATATACATATATATATATATATATATATATATATATATATATATATATATATATATATATATATATATATATATATATATATATATATATATATATATATATATATATATATATATATATATATATATATATAGAAAAGGTTTCAATGTGCAACCAAAAGAGACATTTATAACGTAAAATAAAATAAAAGCCACTCAAATTTTGCACAAACGTTTTCGCTTTAATGTTAGCTCCTCAGGTGCATATTTACAATGAGTGGAATTTAGTTTATCTATTATCTACGTTCTATGATATCATATTATAATAACTATGTTAGGAATGCATATATTTACATGGTGTGAAGTCACCCGTTAAAAACATTCTATTGATCTAAATGTAAGCATAAACTTAATGGGTTTTTAATTAGCGTTCAGATCCGGATTCAGTATATTGATAAGTTCTTTTTCTTTCATCTCCCTAAAAAGTCTGTCCGTGTTAATGCATTGATATATAGGCATTATTTTGAAAATTCCGTCGTTACACATATTTAAGTGTTCGCTTACTTTTAGATGTCTATACTCTTCGTGTCGAATTTGTTCCTTGTGCAATGTCACTCTTTTTCGTAAGTTTTCTGTCTGGCCGACGTAGAAGCTGTCGCATTTTGAGCAAATGATCACGTAAATGACATATCTCGCTTTGCAGTTCATCGTTGAATTGACTTCCCAGGTTTTTCCGCTCTTTAATGTAACAGCCTTTCCTGTGATTAAAACATCGCATGTTCCACATCGCTTTTCCTCACATTTTGTTACACAGTGTTCTCTGTCCTCTGAATTGAATTGTGCTTTTGTCAAGTATCGCTTCAAGTTCTTCGGTTGGCGTTTGCTTACAATGAGTTTTGTTCTGTCTAATACTCGTTTCCTTTTATCGGAATTGTTTAGAAATTTAAAGTTCTCCCTTATTTTTCCAATTACTTGAGGATTGTTGGGATTATGAGTTATTACTAAAGGCAAGACATTGTCATCAGTTTTATGTTTTGGTGCCCTCAATTCGTCAATGTTTTTTGATGAAGCCTTCTGTATTCCGTTTTTTATAAGCAATTTCGGATAGTTCTGCTTTTGTAGGAAATATTCTAGTTCATCAAGACGCTTCTTCTTTAAATCTTGATTTGTTACAATTGCACAGATCCGTCTTGCCAGTGTGTAGAGAATGTTTGATTTTGTATGTCCAGGATGACATGAATGATAATCCAGATATTGGTATGTGTCCGTTTGTTTGTAATGTATATCACTTTCTAACCGTTTCCGCGTTCTTGTAGAGTAGTATATCCAAAAACGGTAGTTTCTTATTGTCATATTCCATTGTGAACTGTATTTTTGGATGAAGTGAATTTAACATTTTATGAAGTTCCTCGAGTTCTGCTTCTGTCTTCTGCCAGGGTAGAAAGCAGTCGTCTAAGAAACGTTTAAACAATTTCACGAAGTTTTCTTTTTCGTCCTGTCCATACTTTTCCTTGAACCTTTCGTACAGTTGTGTCTCAATGAAACCCATAGTTAATGTGGCGTACGTTGGTGCCATTTTAGTGCCCATTGCTGTTCCTTGTATTTGTTTATAATTAATGTCATCAAATTGAAATGTATTCTCCTTTAGGACAATTGAAATGGCCTCCAAAATAAATTCTTTAGGGAACGGTCGTGGCAATGATTCACGGTGTTTGTCCAACCAATGTTCGATTGCTGTGAGTCCAAAATCATGTGGGATACTTGTATACAAGCTGATGACGTCGAATGATACCAATATCGTTTTCTCGTTTATATTTGTAGGTATTTTGTTCAGAAAATCCATACTGTCCCGTATAAAACTTGGTACATGTTGGCATAATGGTTTTAAAATCAAATCGACAAAATTGCTTAGTCTATGTGTGGGCGATATAGGTCCAGCTACTATAGGTCTCATCTTTAAGTCTGCTGGTGGTTTCAGTTTGATATAATCATTGTTTTGGTCGGTGACAGCATCTGTTATGGTTTTTGATTTGTGTATTTTCGGTAATCCATAGAAATTTGATGTTTTCATTAGGAAATTTGTGATGTACTCTTTCTCGTTCTCAGTAATGAAGTTTCCAAAGTTTTAATAAGTCTCTTAATCTTTCGTAAAATATATCGTAAAACATATATATATATATATATATATATATATATATATATATATATATATATATATATATATATATATATATATATATATATATATATATATATATATATATAGATAGATAGATAGATAGATAGATAGATAGATAGATAGATAGATAGATAGATAGATAGATAGATAGATAGATAAAGATAAA